CCTGCCAGCGTTTGGCGAGCCCTTCCAGCGCGCGCGCGGCAAGAGTCCAAGGCCTAAGTACCGCGCCTGCCAGCACAAACGACGCATGTGTCGCGCCTGCCAGCGTTTGGCGAGCCCCCCAGCGTGTGCGCGGCAAAGGTCCAGAGGCCCTAAGTACCGCACCTGCCAGCACAAACGACGCATGTGTCGCGCTTGCCAGCGTTTGGCGAGCCGCCCAGCGCGCGCGCCGCAAGGGTCCAGGGCCCCCTAAGTACCGCGCCTGCCAGCACAAACGACGCATGCGTCGCGCCTGCCAGCGTTTGGCGAGCCCCCCAGCGCGCGTGCGGCAAGGGCCCAGGGCCCCTAAGTACCGCGCCTGCCAGCACAAACGACGCATGTGTCGCGCCTGCCAGCGTTTGGCGAGCCCCCCAGCGCGCGCCCGGCAAAGGTCCAGGGCCCCTAAGTACCGCGCCTGCCAGCACAAACGACGCATGTGTCGCGCCTGCCAGCGTTTGGCGAGCCCCCCAGCGCGCGCGCGGCAAAGGTCCAGGGGCCTTAAGTACCGCGCCTGCCAGCACAAACGACGCATGTGTCGCGCCTGCCAGCGTTTGGCGAGCCCCCCAGCGCACGCGCGGCAAGGGTCCAGGGCCCAAGCACCGCGCCTGCCAGCACAAACGACGCATGCGTCGCGCCTGCCAGCGTTTGGCGAGCCCCCCAGCGCGCGCGCGGCAAAGGTCCAGGGCCCCTAATAAGTACCGCGCCTGCCAGCACAAACGACGCATGTGTCGCGCCTGCCAGCGTTTGGCGAGCCCCTCAGCGCGCGTGCGGCAAAGGTCCAGGGGCCCTAAGTACCGCGCCTGCCAGCACAAACGACGCATGTGTCGCGCCTGCCAGCGTTTGGCGAGCCCCCCAGCGCGCTCGGCAAGTGTCCAGGGCCTCTAAGTACCGCGCCTGTCAGCACAAACGACGCATGTGTCGCGCCTGCCAGCGTTTGGCCAGCGCGCGCGGCAAAGGTCCAGGGGCCCTAAGTACCGCGCCTGCCAGCACAAACGACGCATGTGTCGCGCCTGCCAGCGTTTGGCGAGCCCCCCAGCGCGCGCGCGGCAAAGGTCCAGGGGCCCTAAGTACTGCGCCTGCCAGCACAAACGACGCATGTGTCGCGCCTGCCAGCGTTTGGCGAGCCCGCAAGGGTCCAGGGCCTCTAAGTACCGCGCCTGTCAGCACAAACGACGCATGTGCGCCTGCCAGCGTTTGGCGAGCCCCCCAGCGCGCGCTCGGCAAGAGTCCAGGGCCTCTAAGTACCGCGCCTGTCAGCACAAACGACCCATGTGTCGCGCCTGCCAGCGTTTGGCGAGCCCCCCAGCGCGCGCGCGGCAAAGGTCCAGGGGCCCTAAGTACCGCGCCTGCCAGCACAAACGACGCATGTGTCGCGCCTGCCAGCGTTTGGCGAGCCCCCCAGCGCGCGCGCGGCAAAGGTCCAGGGGCCCTAAGTACCGCGCCTGCCAGCACAAACGACGCATGTGTCGCGCCTGCCAGCGTTTGGCGAGCCCCCCAGCGCGTGCGGCAAAGGTCCAGGGCCCCTTAAGTACCGCGCCTGCCAGCGCAAACGACGCATGTGTCGCGCCTGCCAGCGTTTGGCGAGCCCCCCAGCGCGCGCACGGCAAAGGTCCAGGGGCCCTAAGTACCGCGCCTGCCAGCACAAACGACGCATGTATCGCGCCTGCCAGCGTTTGGCGAGCCCCCAGCGCGCGCTCGGCAAGTGTCCAGGGCCTCTAAGTACTGTGCCTGTCAGCACAAACGACGCATGTGTCGCGCCTGCCAGCGTTTGGCGAGCCCCCCAGCGCGCGCTCGGCAAGGGTCCAGGGCCTCTAAGTACCGCGCCTGTCAGCACAAACGACCCATGTGTCGCGCCTGCCACAGCGTTTGGGAGCCCCCCAGCGCGCGCGCGGCAAAGGTCCAGGGGCCCTAAGTACCGCGCCTGCCAGCACAAACGACGCATGTGTCGCGCCTGCCAGCGTTTGGCGAGCCCCCCAGCGCGCGCTCGGCAAGTGTCCAGGGCCTCTCTAAGTACCGCGCCTGTCAGCACAAACGACGCATGTGTCGCGCGCGCGCCTGATGTTGTGCAGTATGTTGATGTGTGTGCATGAAGTGCGTGATGTGCATGTATCATGTAGTGCGTCATGGAGCTATGTGGCGCATCAGGTGCGTGATGCGTGATGTAGTACGTGCCTGATGTTGTGTGGCGCATGAAGTGCGTCATGTGCGTGATGTGATGCGTGATGTGCGTGATGTGCGTGATGATAGAGGAGGAAGAAAGAGGACGAAGAGGAGGAGAAGGAGGAGGAGAAGGAGGAGGAGGAGGAGGAGGAGGAAGAGGAAGAGGCGGGACAGCCCCAAAAGTAAGAACCCCACACAAAGATGTGGGGAAAAAAAGAAACACCGGCCCTATTTCCAATCTAAGGAATTTAAGGAATTTAAGCCCTTTAAATTCCTTAAATTCTTTAAAAAAGAAATACAGGCCTTATTTAAAGAATTTAAAGAATTTAAAGGACTTATAAAATTTAAATCGGCGGCCCCTATTTCAAAACCCAGGCCCACCAATTTAGATTTTATAGATTCCTTAAATTCTTTTAATTCCTTAAAAAAGAAATACCGGACCTCTTTCCAATTTAAGGAATTTAGGGAATTTAAGCCCTTTGAATTCCTTAAATTCATTAAAAAATAAATGCCGGCCCTATTTCCAATTTAAGGAATTTAAGGAATTTAAGCCCTTTAAATTCCTTAAATTCCTTAACAACTAAACGCCGGCCCTATTTCCAATTTAAAGGAATTTAAAGCATGTAAATTCCTTACATACTTAAAAAAATAGCGTGCTTATTTCCGAAACCTTACAATATAAACAAAACAAAGAGGATTGCCAAATAGTACATAAAGGTCCTTCGTACACATAGATACATATGTATATATGTATGCTACCCACCCCCCCCCCCCCTCCAGAACCCACCGTAAGCACAGTGTAAGGCCTTTGGTTGTGGAACTCACGCTCCAAGCTAGGAACCTGCAGCGCAAAGAAGCTAGGGCTGCAGGAGAAGCGTGGGCAGGCCTTAAGGCTGTTTGGGCGGTGCGGCGATGTCACTTGGAAGTGGCAGAGGCTTGTCCGGAGCCCAAGAAAGACTTTCCGGAGTTTTGCCTGCGAGGTTTTGGAATCGTAGGGAAGCAGGCACTGGGGGCGGAGGTTCTGCTGTCCTTGAGGTTGGACGCGGTTCGCTCCATCGATGACGCCAGCATTAGAGGAATGCTGGAGCCATCTCGGCCTCTTTGGGACCACGAACGTCTCTGCATTTGTGGAAAGCGGACCTATCTGTTCTCGCGTTGCCCGGCCTGCGTTGAGAAGGAAGCAGTCGACGTCAGAGGAACCCGAACCTCCGCTTGAAGGTGACCTCGAAGCCCACGAAGTTGGCCTGGAGGTCAACTCGGTCCTTGCTGCGTTGGATAGGACAGGAGGCCTCCTTGGAGCTCGCCTTCGGACTGTGTTCAAGGCGACGTTGTCTTGCATTGGGCTTCCGCCGTGACTTGGCACAGCCACAGACACGTGGTCAATGACCATGCAGATTGCACTGGACCCCCTCGTCAGCAAGCTAGTAGCCCTGATAGGAAGAGCTACTCAGGCCATTGGCTGGTGGGATACCGGAGACGCAACTGGACCTCCCAATGCATCCGTGGAGGTATCAGGTGGAAGGGTTCTGGCACTGATGGGCGGCGAACACAAGGGCCCTGCAGTGGTCCTAGAGCTTGTTAGCCAGAGCCCGATCTTGTGCATTTGGGACCATTCCTCGGTTAAGGTCGAGGTTAGAGGCGGAGTTCCTTCTCTAGCCCTGACTGTGGAAGAGGTCGAGAGTAGTCGCGAGCAGCTTGCGGTTGAAGCTAGAGACGCGACTAGCATTTCGGAGTTCCGAGTCACAGGATCCCTTCGTACGGCGTGGTACGAGGGTCAGGCGTGATCCTTCACTGGTGGGATCGATCCGCAAGCCACAGCCGCCTATGGCCCATGAAGATCTCCAGGGACGGGCTACAAGAACGCGAAGTGACCAAGCCGCATACTGATGTGCGGGCTCTGCCAGAGTCGCACGCGACACGCACGCGCTTCCCCCTTCGCATTCATGTGTGCAGCTTGCACTCACTTCTCGGCCTGAGAAGTAGCTGGGAGCCTCGGCTGAGGGGCGAATGTGAGCAGGCAGAGGCATACATGCAGAGATGCCTCCAGCATGGCATGTTGCATTTCAGTTTTGTGCCTGCTTTGCATGTTTCAGTTTTGTAATTCGTTTCAATGCCAATATTTTGGCTCAAGTATGAGACTAGACTTGTGCCTTTGTGCGCGGTAGTTTCGTTCTGTAGCTTTTAGGTTGCAGAGCGGTCCGACCGGACGCTAGGCCGTAGGTTCACACCGAGCTTGGACCCACGAAGTCAAAAGCAGCGTGACCGCCTGTGTTTGCTTTGGTTTAAGGCAAGACCAGTGCTGGTCGACTTCACAATATATAGTATATATATATAGTATATATATATATATAGTATATACTATATATACTATATATACTATATATACTATATATATATACAGCTATATATACTATATATACTATATATACAGCTATATATACTATATATACTACTATATATACTATATATACTATATATACTATATATACTATATATACTGATATACTATACATACTATATATACTAAATATACTATATATACTATGTACGAATAGTTCCACCTTTATTTGCTAATGTATGTTTCTATGTCTTGTTTATGGTTGATGCTACATACGCTTTGCATACTACAGGGTCAGCAGGGTCGGAGGGCCAGGAGGACCGGTGAAAGGGCGCCTGAGAAGTAGGCCCTCCGATTACAACTGTCTTTGCTGTCTCGTTGCTATCTTTTCTGGTATACACTAATCTTTTCAAACTACCTGCTTTAACACATATCTGATAACGTTTTCCCTCCCACCCGGGCAGTCCGTGGATCTGTCAGGTACTGCTGCTGCTGCAGGTCGGTCATGGGGCCAAAAAGCCTCCGGAACAGAGAGTTCGGAGAGTTCGGAGAGTTGGAAGAATTGAACTGAGTGGCCCCCCCCCCCCCCCCCCCCCCCCCAAAACAAAAAAAACACAACTTCAGAAAAGGCGAAGCAAGTGAGAGAGAGAAGGGGCTCTTCTCAAGTGCTCTCTTCATGGTTCGCTCTGCGCAGGGGCTCCTCTCGAACTGCTTGCGGGTCAAGGCCAGAACCTGCTCACGAAATGAATTTAAACACAGAGAGAACTCTCAAAGGCAGCGTAATGGCGCACGCTGCGTACGCCTGATCTTCGTCAAAGAACAATTCCATAACTCTGAGTGCGCTTTGTCTCTTCCTTACATCTTCGTTTTCCCACTCTCACTTTGTCCTCCACGCTCGTGACGGCGGACACGAACGCTGCCCGTGGCGCGTTCTTCAGCAGCGCGAGCCTTGGATTGCATCGAACTTCGATAGGAACACTCACGGCGCCCGGATACCAGCAGCAACACAGCGCTCGCAAACAAGAAACACCACAAGCAAAGGAACAAGGAAACAAGCACCTCTTACCAAAAACCCTCCCGCGATGTTGGGAAGTGTTGGGAACTGTTGGGAAGTGTTGGGAAGTGTTGGGAAGTGTTGGGAAGGGATGGGAAGGGAATAGGAAAGGAAAGGAGTCTGGGAGTGCTCCGTGCTTCTCTTTTCTCTTTCTCTCTCTCTCTTGCATACCAAGGGGCTCCCCGAAGAGGTCTCCGGCCTTGTAGCGCTTGTACTCCTGTTCGTCGTTGCCCGTGCGGACCCAGACGCGCGCCTCTCACTAAACTGGTGGGGCTGAGCACAGAGAGAGGAGCTCTTCTGGAAGCGGCGGAGCGCTGCAGAGAGAGATTCTGACTCATTCTGACTCTTTGATACTCTCTGACTACACTGAGACATTGATAACTTACTGTTCACCTGGTGTTGAAAAAAAGAAGACTCGTCTTTGCGAGAGGGCCAGCCGCCAAGGTCTGTTGACATGTCAAGTGGCCACGCCCGAAAGCATGATGAAGAACTCCTTGCCCTCCTCGTGCTGGCGAATGATGTCCTGGAAGAGCTCTCGCTTGATGCTTTGATGCTTTGGGCAAACTGAAAATAAGATGAAAGAAGGAATAGAAGGAATCGCAACAGATCACCAAAAACGATGCGGTCACTCAGGGCTCACTCCATCTCTCTCTCCCTCCGTGGATTTTTGTTTTGCTGCAAAAATTTGCATCTCTGAAGGCGGAGAGGCGAAGAGCTCAGCTCGCACTTCAACTCTTGGGTCCTCCCTGGGCTGGTAGGTCCGCTTCTGCAAAGTGTCGGCGATGCGCGCGATGCCCTCGGGAGGCATGGTCTCCAGCCTTGAGGGCACACATTTATTAAGTGCCGAGACATGATGCTCAGCCCTTGAGCCGGCGCCGGGCCCCTCTGGTTTTTCCCTCTCTTTCTGTTTCTTTTTCTACACTGATTCTACACCCTTCGTTAAATTTTTCCTGCAAACACGCCTACACCGGAGGGCGCTTGGCTCACCTCCTGATCTGCCACCGCGTTTCCCCCTAAGCTCACACAAGACTCTGTCACAAGACCCCAAGTTAAATGCATGTTGATGTTCTGCTTCAGCCAGCAGCTGCATTTTCCAAAGTGTCTCAGAATCTGCAAAGGGCTTCTGCTTCCTCTGCTTGTTGTGCCAGGGGGCACTTTGGTCTCCATCAGGAGGCTCTTGTACTTCTCCCGCGCATAGAACCTCGGATCGACGAAACAGATGGCAGAGATGGAGAGGGACTTAAAGGGAGGCGCAACACAAAGGAGAGAGGTGGGCGGGGCATTTGCAAAGTCAGCAAGAAGAAGAGAGCGCACGCGCGCACACACGCGCACAGCTACACGTGTTCGTGCAGTGAGTTGCTTCAAAGAAGTGAGAAGGAGAGGTCCCAAAAAAAGGGGGGGATGTTCGACGTCTGAGGCTCCGGGCTGGAAGCGTGTGCCGAGGTCCACGTAGTCCTTGCCTCTTCGCTCAAAGAGCCGCTAGCCACCAAAACAACACCAAAAGAACCCAACATTTCTCAGAGTGTTTTTTTTTCTGGGGAAAGAACCCCCGGGCTCTGCTGAGGGCTTGGCGGCAAAGCTTCGCCATGACGCACCTCTGCTTGCTTTGCTTTGTTGGTGTTGCGTCGTTCTTTCTTCAGCTGAGACTCCAGGCTCTCCTCTATTTTTCTTGTTTAAAGGATCGGTTCTTTGTCTGTTTGTGCTTCTTTGTTGCGCAGCGCTCTTCGCTCTTCTCGGAGAGGAAGACAATGCGACAATGCCCCTCCCTCCTTCTTTCGAGAGCGAGAGCGAGGGGGGGGGGAGAGTTAAAGAGAGAGTTAAAGAAATTGCTTGCGTCTCCTTTATGTTTTCGCCTTTTTTTTGTTCTTCTTCATTTTAGCTCAGGGCCGGGCTCCCCCTGCGCCTTCATGAAGTAGGGCCTCCACGGCTCGCACGCTCTCGTCCACGAGTTCTCTCAAAGAAATCAGAAATCAGAAATCAGAAATCAGAGAGAGAAGGAAGAAGAGAAGAAGAAGAGAGTGTTCAACAGAGAGAGAGGAAGATACAGAGAGAGCCTCCTCCCCCCCCACCCCATATCCCCCCCCAGAACAGAGCAGTAGAGACACACGCAGAGAGAGAGAGAGAGAGAGAGAGAGAGAGAGAGAGAGAGAGAGAGAGAGAGAGAGAAGCGGGGAGGCGGCGCGCGCGCTCTGGGGTGCGCCTCGGGTAGCTGTACAGCACGGAAGCCTGGCTCTCGAGTCAGAAGCATCTCTGAAATTCCACAACTCTCCCTCTCCCTTTCTCTCTCTCAAACCTCTTCCAAGTCTCTACTCTACGGGCCTCGTCGATCAAGGAGCCCGGGGGCTTGATGGTGCAGAGCCTCATCTTCAGCATCGTGCTGACAGTGCACTCTCTGACTCTCGAGAATGTGTTTGAGAGGCGGGCGAGAGAGAAAAAAAAAGGCATGCATGATGGCGCTCTTCCCCCCACATCCCCCCCCAACCCTCTTCCCCCCCCCCCGCCCTCCGTGGTGGCCCTCCGTGGTGGCCCTCCGTGGTCCTGTGGTGTGGAATATGTTGTGCGCCAACCTTCATATGGCATCTTCGGCCGACGGCCGAAGCTTTTGGGGTATGATTGCACCTTGCTGCACCTTGCGCCGTGGTGCCGCGCGAGGTGCAGCCAGGGCCGGCGAAAGGTTCAACGCCGTTTCAACGCCGCTGCGCGGTCTGGGAGCCACCACGACTACGTTACCTGCATAGGTCTGGGAGCCATCACACCCCGCTGCACAAGAATTGCGCAACGCATACTCAACCAACAACCATTTTTCCAATTTCCCTCCCCCTAACCCCCCGCGTTCTGGCTCAACTAGCAACCATTCCCCTAACACCCCCACGAGGTGGGCTTCCCCCCGCTGGCGAAGCACAGAGCGTACTCAACTAGCAACCAGGTGTCGTCCCCCTAACCTCTTACGAGGCGGTTCTGGGTAACTCCCCTTGACTGGTCAAGCACGGAGCGTGCTCAACTAGCAGCAACCATTTCACCCCCTAACCCCCCGCGAGGTGGTTCTGGGTAAACGCGCCCACTGACGAAGCACGGAGCGTACTCAACTAACAACCATTTTCCCCCCCTTAATCATCCCACGAGATGCTTCTGGGCAACCCCCCTTAGTGGCGAAGCACAGAGCATACGTCCTCCCCCTAACCTCTTGCGAGGTTGTTCTGGGATGTTCTGGGCAACCGCCCCCCCCACCGGCGAAGCACGGAGCGGACTCATTTAGCAGCCATTTCCCCCCCTAACATCCTCAGGAGGTGGTTCTGGATGACCCTAACCCCTCCACTGGCGCAGCACGGAGCGGACTCAACTGGCAACCATTTCCTCCTTAACGCCCCCACAATATGGCTCTGACCCGTGTCCTCCCGCTAACCTCTTACGAGGTGGTTCTGGGTAACCTGCCACGGGGCATATCTGACATCTGCCTAGGTAGAAACACTGATTAGCCCTATACTCTGTCTCTTCCACACAGGGGAACCTCCCCACGCTCTGCCTAGAAAGAAACACTTACCCCCGTGCTCTCTCTCTCTCTCTCTGTCTTTCTCTTTCTCTCTTTCTCTTCTTCTTCTTCTTCTTCTTCTACAGGGCTTGAGGGATGCAGGGGGCCCCCCGCGCGCACGGGCGCGCCCAGCACCGCAGTCACATCCCCCGCCTGCCAGTACCTTAGAGATCCTTAGTGTTCTCTCTTTCTCTCTCTTTCTCTCTGTTTCTCTCTCGCTCTCGCTCTCGCTCTCGCTCTCTCTCTCTCTCTCTCTCTCTCTCTCTCTCTCTCTCTCTCTCCCTCCGTAGCCATTTAGGTGGGACTTCCGGATAACCCTAGCAACTTCACTTAGGAGATTCCAAAAAAAATCAGCCTGACATTGGAGAGGGGCACGATCAAGCTCTTCAATTATTACACGATGGGAAAATTTTTGTCTTGGCAAGACGCGTGACGCAGTTGCTTGTGGAAAGGATTTTGTCCTGCTCAAACGCGCGGCGGTGACGCAGGTGCTTGTGGTAGGGTTATTGTCTTGGGAAAACGCGTGGCGGTGACGCAGGTGCTTGTGGTATAAGGCTATTGTCTCGAAACAACGCGTGGTGGTTACGCAGGCTCTTTTGGTAAGGTTTTTGTCTTGGCGGCTTGGCAAAACGCGTGGCGGTGACGCAGGTGCTTGGTAAGGTTTCTGTCTTGGCAAAGGCGTGGCGGTGATGCACGCTTGTGGCAAGGTTTTGTCTTGCCAAAACGCGTGGCGGTGACGCAGGTGCTTGTGGTAAATTTTCTG